TTATTTATTTAACAAAAATTATACTTATTCAGCAGGGGCTCATTCATTTGATCACAGGGACAGTAAAGACATTTATAATGTTAAACTGCACAACCTTTTAACATTAATAATAATAGGAAATGTTTTTTAAGCACCAAACCAGCATATTAGAATGATTTCATAATGGTCATGTGACACTGAAGACTGAAGTAATAATGCTAATAATTCAGCTTTGCCTTCACAGGAATAAATTACTTTTTAAAATATATTACTACAAAAAGCATTTATTTTTTAAATTGTATTAATATTTTACAATATGACTTTTTTGTATTTTTGTGTTTTTGAGCAAATAAATACAGCATTGGTGAGCGACTTTCAAAAATGTATATAGATTATTGTTTAGATTTATATAGATTATTGTTATTATTTATCTGGCACAATAACATACCATAATGTGAATTACCAGTATTAATATGATGTGGAAAAAATGGCTGTTGCTTGTTGGGAAAAGTAGGTCATTACTGGATTCTCTGTTTTGAAAACACCTGAGGTGTTGTACTGAAAAATGCAGACAAGGAAGTGTTACTACTTTTAGATAGTTAGATAGTCACTCCTAACACTGCTTTAAGTGCCCTAAATAATCAAGATTCCAATTAGAAATAAGGTTCACCTAAATAAATTAAATGATAAATCTCTACTTGTGTTCAGAAATTGCAGTAGAACAACTGTTTAATAATTGTTGTAATAATTTTCTTCATTCAGTCCGAGTCATCGCTGAACGCTGTGCCGATGCTGCAGCGGAGAATGACAGCGCAGGAGATCTGTTACCAGCGCATACAGAAGGCCCAGCAACAGGCAGTACAGCTAGCTGCTGCAGTAAAGGCAGCGTCTGCATCGACCAACCCAAAACTGGGGCTGTCTGGAGAGAAACGGCGGGTGGCACACCGGCCAAACGCCTCCTTGCCCTCCTCAAAGCCTGGTATGAGGGTTCTACATTCACTTACAGCAGGATTAAGAATTAGGAGTTAAAAACACATGTTTTTTTGTAGGGCTAGCTGATGCCAGCAGTCGGGTGTTGTCACCCACCAGGGTGGCGACCGATCAGCTTTCAGTCAAAGCTCATACATCGACAGGCATCCTGTCAAAGACCACATCCACTACAGTGCAGAAAAGAGTGGCGCACACCCCCACCATGAAGGTAACGTCGCCCTATAACAGAACTATAATGGTGTACTTGTGGAATGGAATGTCCCCAATAAACACTCTCTTTTCTGCCCATCACAGAGCTCTGCCATGAAGCGTCCTGTCATTCCTGCAGATTTTGGGGCCAAGGTGCCCACTAATGTCCGCCAGCGTTACCTAAACATCTTCATTGATGAGTGCCTGAAGTTTTGTTCCTCTGAACAGCAAGCTTTTCAGATGGTATGTCATCCAGCCTCTATAATTCTGTCATCATTTACTCACCCTCATGCTGATCCTAATGTGTATGAGTTTCTTTCTTTTGCTGAACACAAAAGAAGATATTTTGAAGAAAGTTGGTGATCAAAGAGTTGATGGTATTCCACTGTATTTTTTCATACTATGAAAGTCAATGGCTACCGTCAACTGCTTGTTTACCAACATTCTTTTTTCATTTTTGGCTGAACTATCCCTTTAATGTCAACTCCCTTATATATATTGTTGATGTGTATATTCTGGATGTCTTCTTCACTCTCAGGCTCTGGAGGAAGAGAAGGTGGTGTATGACAGGAGCAGCAGTAAGAACATCTACCTGAATGTAGCTGTGAACACACTGAAGAAACTTCGCAGCAAGAGCACACCTACGTACCCTGCCATCAGTGCGGAGGTGGAGGAGGAAGAAACAGAAAGCACTTTAACTACTCTCTTTCCTGGCCAGAAGAAGAGGGTGTCACACTTTAAAGCTCAAGGAAAGGTTAGTGTTGGAATGCATGTTCTGACATGGCTGACATATTCTCTCCTCTGTTATTGGTTCCCTGCACTTCATATTTGCATATTAGCTATATTTGGTGTGCAGCAGTTAGACCATAAGCAAGTCAAGACAGAATATGTAGTAATTTATCGTAATTTTAATTTATATATGTATATGTATATTATGCTGTTCAAAAGTTTGGAGTCAGAATTAAGAATATATACCTTATATATATTGTTGATGTGTATATTCTGGATGTCTTCTTCACTCTCAGGCTCTGGAGGAAGAGAAGGTGGTGTATGACAGGAGCAGCAGTAAGAACATCTACCTGAATGTAGCTGTGAACACACTGAAGAAACTTCGCAGCAAGAGCACACCTACGTCTCCTGTCATCAGTGAGTCTAACACAAACACGCAGATTAATACTCCTGTTATGCTGTCATTTCCTTTTTGTATTTATTTGCTAATTAGCAGATGTTCATCTGAAGTGACTGAGGGTACACTAACCCTGGGGTTAAGAGCCTTTCTCAAGGGAATAACAATAGTTTATCTGTTTTGTCATTAATCTGCCACCAACTGTTATATTCAGTGTTTTACACTGATATTGATCATGAAAGAGAAAGAGAAGATCCAAAAGTCTGGGACCATATTGAAAGTCTGAAATTCAAAATCTGATTTATACCTGGGAATAAGCAAAGCTTTAGGATTTTAGGATTTTGAAAAATCTAAACTAAAAAATGTTATGATGCTAATAAAATAATAAAAAAAGATGTAACATTTGATTAGTGGCCTAATAATAATGCAGCATAAGCAGATTTGTGTAGTTCATAATGCTTATGCTGTTGTCAGATTGACATAAAAATGAGATTCTGAAATTAATGTAAATTCCACTCAAATTGTTATGCTGAACAATTTAAAACTAAAATTACATTTAAAAGAATGTATTATAAATTACATTTATTTTCTTTATAATGTAATTAATTTCTGTAATTTAACTGTAATTAAAATATCTAGTATTATTTATAGATTTATTTACATTTAGTCATTTAGCAGACGCTTTTATCCAAAGCGACTTACAAATGAGGACAATGGAAGCAATCAAAATCAACAAAAGAGCAATGATATACAAGTGCTATAACAAGCCTCAGTTAGCTTAATGCAGTACACGTAGCAAGGCTTTTTTAAAAATTATATAATAAAAAGAAAACGGATAGAAAAAAAAGAATATAGCAAGCTAGTGTTAGAGGCCTTTTTTGCTTTTGGTAATTGTATAATAAATAAAAAGATTAGAGAAGCTAGTGTTAGTTTGTTTTTGTTTTTTTTAAAGAAAACAAGCAGTTCGTAAATGAATAGAGTGCAAGTCTAAAAGGGGCAAGTTTTTTTTTTTTTTTTTTTAAGAATATAATTAGAATTTATGTTATATGTTATTTCTCAGAGAGCCCAGCTGTATCTGTGAATAGAAAGTCTCAGTCCCATGAAGGAGTACTTGGTGGAAGACTTGCTGCCACAACCAGCTACACAATCAACCGCTCCGGTAAACAGCAGGATGTGGACCCTAAAGGTACCTCACTACCACTTAAGTGTTATTCTAGCATTATATAAATATTATTATATTAATTATTATTAATTTTATTACATTTAATTTCTAGTTATCTTTATTTGTATTTCATGTTTAGTTATAATAATTGTAGTACTTGAACTTATTTAATTTTGCTTAGTTTCCAAAACAACATTTCTAATTTTCATTTAGGTTTTTTTAAGTTTTAAGTTTTTCAGCTACTATTTATTTTCAGCTTTATTTCAATAGATGAAAACTATTTTTATTAGTTTTAGTTAACAGTAACAGCACTCTACCACCCTTTTTTCTGATCTCACCCATGTCTGCATCATGCTGTTTTCAGGTGCCATTCTTTACAAAAAACAGAAAAAATATGCAATGACTGAAGAACAGCTGCAGGAGCATGGCTACCCCAGACCTCACCCCGAGATGTCGGGTCACGCTGTTGTCCATAACCAACCAGAGAAGAAAAACAATGACCGTTAGTTTTGTTTTTATTGTCTTAGACCAATTTCTTGATGATGCTACTTCACAATACACCTTATAACAAAGAGCCAAACCACTAGGTGGCACTACGCTTAAACTTTTAGCACCTAATCAGCCAATAGAGTTTTTTTATGTACTCATTGAACATAAGTTGCATTATTTTAAACATCTGTACATTTGAAAATATCTTCCCTCCATAACATTTGCACTCTTGATTCTGATTAATTGTCCTGTATCTCTTCCTTAGCTTTTTCCAAAATCTGTTGTCGATGTGGCGCCGAGTACAAGATAAACGCTAATGGCAGCTGTGTGCGTAAGGAGGAGTGCAGTCACCACTGGGGAAGATTACGCAGAAACAGAGGTGGGTATGTGTACGTGTAAGACAGGATGAGTTTTCTGCAATGACAATATGCTTCATGTATTTCACTGTATATGTTGCTGCTAACACTGACTTGTTTTTGTGTCTTACGTAGTTCCAGGAGGTTGGGAGACACTTTACAGCTGCTGCTCTGGTGCAGTTGGTTCTCCTGGATGTGAAGTGTGTAAAGTAGGTATCATCGTGGATATGCAAATATTGGACCTACCACAAAAATGTCCTAAATCTAAAATAAGAAATTTTCCTAAATCCGAACCTAAACTAAGATTTAAAATTTGCTATGTTAACCTATAAAACATAATGGATTATGTGTTATAGATAATATCAAGTAAATGTAGTTATTTTATACATCTCACATTGCATCAAAAACGCAAAATGCAGAAATCATTGCAAATCTGCAATAATAAAACATCTCCCTCACACTACACTAATTATTTTGTCATGAATATATCCTCTGATATGGTGATTAATAAATAGACTTTGTTTTTCATACGTAATAATGTTTTTGCTGATGGCAGACATATTTCTGTGAGGGTACAGAAGATAAAATAGTTTGCACACGCTGCCTTAAGATATCTTTTAGGTTCAGAAGTCTTTTGCTAGTTGAAGGAGGCAAAGCTTTTAAAGGAACACTCCACTATTTTTGAAAATCGGCTCATTTTCCAACTCCCCTAGAGTTAAACAGTTGAGTTTTACCGTTTTCAAATCCATTCAGCCGATCTCCGGGTCTGGCGGTAACACTTTTAGCTGTAGCTTAGCATAGATCATTGAATCTGATTAAACCGTTAGCATCTTGCTCAAAAATGACCTAAAGAGTTTCTATATTTTTCCTATTTAAAACTTGACTCTTCTGTAGTTACATCGTGTACTAAGACCGACGGAAAATGAAAAGTTGCAGCTCAACTGCGTAATATCCTTGCGCCTGCTGCACCCATGGTACGGCAGCAAAAACTCTGAAGTAAATTTTGAGCGAGATGCTAAAGGTTTAATCAGATTCAATGATCTATGCTAAGCTGCAGCTAAAAGTGCTACCGCCAGACCCGGAGATCGGCTGAATGGATTCGAAAACGGTAAAACTCAACTGTTTAACTGTACGGGAGTTGGAAAATGAGCATATTTTCAAAAATAGTGGAGTGGTGTGTTTAGAGTAAGTATTATAGCCTACTAAAAGTATGTTCAGTAATGTGTCTCTGAGGTCTCTGAAAGATTAGAATACCTGTTTTTGCTGTTCCCTTTTCCTTTAGCAACATGTACAAGATGGCCGTAAAGAGTCCTTGGATGGTTTTGTGAAGACTTTTAGCAAACCGTTGCCAGTAGATGGAAATGGAGGTGTCTATGCCTTGGACTGTGAGATGGTGAGAATAACAGTTATTCAAATGCTCCCACACTTATTTTAGGTGGATATAAAAAGCGTTATGAAGAAAACAGGATGCATTCTAAAGTCTGATATTAAAGATACTACAAGCCGCTCTAACCCTTTATTGAATCTAACTAAATACTATAACCTTTTTCATCTCGATACTTGTTTTATAGTGCTACACAAAGCAAGGTTTGGAGCTGACCAGAGTAACCGTCATTAACTCTGACCTCAAGGTTATCTATGACACATTTGTCAAGCCAGGCAGCAGATTGGTGGATTACAACACACGGTAGGAATTGTGTTAAGAGATCTGCCATTCATTTGCCTTTCAGTTTTTCTAGTTTCAGTTACACCCGTTTGTGTTTCATCCAGGTTTTCAGGTGTGACACAGGATGATCTGGAGAACACCACCATCACCCTGAGAGATGTGCAGGCGGTGCTGCTGAGCATGTTCAGTGCAGAGTCCATTCTAATTGGACACAGTCTTGAGAGTGACCTGTTTGCGCTCAAGGTACACCCAAACACTAGAGCTGCACGATTAATCGGTAAAAAAAAATCTCAATCTCGCATTCAAACAACCATGTGATCTCATTTCTAAATAACAGTGATTCTCCTGTGTATTAAATATTTGAAAAATCCATACCGGAACATTCAAATCTGCATTCGCGCTGCCGCTGACACAGGGAGAGCAGTTACCATGTTTAGATAAGAAATAGCTTCACAAACAGACTTTTCAACCACAAAGTATTATTTCTCTCTTACAATCATTCATATTATCACAGAAATACTGGGATTTAAGTTTATAGATCCAATATAAACACTGATTGTAGCGATCAAAATAAAGAAAATCTCAGCTTTTGAAAGTAATTAGCGCTTCAAATAACGTTTGTGTTGATTACATTGTTTCGCCACTAGGTGGCGACAAGTGACTGTTAAAATGTATTTGTATTTCATATTTTACTGAAATAAGTGAAGTATTAAAGGGGTCCTATTATGCTCTTTTACAAAGTCTTGATTTTGTTTTGGGGGTGTACTAGAACAGGCTCTCATACTAGGTTGTTCGAAAAACACATTATTTTTCACATATTTTACATTATTACAACACCTCTCTCCTCAGTCTGGCATGAACGGCTCGAATAGTTCCTGTATCAAATGAAGGCCCGCCTTCTGAAATACGAAATGTGCTGTGATTGGTTAGCTGGGCCAGTGTGTGCTGTGATTGGCAGCACTCGGCACCTGGTCGGGAAATGTCATGTCCCTTACCATAGCCGCCTGCAAGCTTCAGTGTAAATATTGCATCAAAATTAAATAAATTTGAGCACGATTTAAGCCCGGATGATTGTAACCACTCTAAGTTGGTCTGCCTTGGGAAAGCTAGCGTGTCTCCGACATAGTGATAACACTCATTGCCTTCTCTAGTCACCCCTTTAATGAGTGAGTCATTGAATCATTCATTCAAATACATTTTTCATAATTTTAATATTAAAAATTGGTTCATTAAATATAGACTGCAGCATTTAATATTTTGTCACAGCCTCTAGAAAATAATACATTATTTTGTTAAGTTCAGAGTCGTGGGAGAATTGTCTATTGTGACAAAAAGAAAATCGTGATTTTCAATTTATCCAGAATCGTGCAGCTCTACCAAACACTAATTGTACTGTCTTTATAATAATCCAAAACCTAGTGTGTTGCCTGCCTAGACATCATTTTTAGGAATTTTAAGCGTGCTTGTAATATAAAGGCTTAATAAAATACCTAAATATTGTAAGCTTGCAGAAGTTTATGCAATAAGGTAGCGTACTAGAGTTTGGAACAGTGCCATTTTTTGTCTTTTAATCAGTGTTTATTAACATCTGTGTTTACTAGCTTATTCACAGCATGGTTGTGGACACCGCTATTGTGTTTCCTCACCGCCTGGGTCTGCCCTACAAACGTGCCCTGCGAAACCTTATGGCCGACTACCTCAAACGCATTATACAAGACAACGGTGAGGATATTAGTAATCTGCACTAATTTGCATCATCTGCATTAATCCAACAAAAATGTACTGGATTTCACCCAGGAAAAAAGGACAATTGAAAGTATAAAATTCAGCTCATTAATAAGGACAATTAAGTTTTTTTTTTACATTGTGATATTGTCATCAATAACTGTACTGCATGTATTGTCATTAGTATTGTCCCATTACTGTCTAGACACAATAATTTGTTTATTAAATGAGAATAAATTAAATTCAGTACAACAAATGCTACCATTATATAAATATTTAACAATTTAAATAAAATACATCATCATGCTACTGAGAATTTGTCGTAAAATGGGCTTAATTTTCTATATAAATATACTTCAATATATATATATATATATATATATATATATATATAGTAATTTAGCCAATGGAAGCAATCAAAATCAACAAAAGAGCAATGATACGCAAGTGCTATAACAAGTGTCAGTTAGCTTAATGCAGTACATGTAGCAAGGCTTTTTTTTATTATGTAATAAATAAAAGGAAAACGGATAGAATAGAAAAAGAATATAGCAAGCTAGTGTTAGAGGCCTTTTTTTGCTTTTGTTAATTGTATAATAAATAAAAAGAAAACAAATAGATAGAATACAAAAAGATTAGAAAAGCTAGTGTTATTTTTTTTTAAGAAAAACAAGCAGTAAATGAATGGAGTGCAAGTCTAAAAGGGACATTTTTTTTTTTAAAGAATAGAATTAGAATACAGATTGCTAGAGTTAGAGCGTCAAATAAAGATGGAAGAGATGTGTTTTTAGCTGATTCTTGAATATATATATAATTGTTTTTTTGTGGTTTAATCTGACCTGGATATGAGATTCTCCTTAGCTTAATTCACCATTCATCTAGCTGAGGAAGGAATGTATTATAATAATAGTGTATTATCAAACCCACATAATAACATGTGACACATAAAGGCTCTAAATAACATGCTCTGGACTGTCTCTGTGTTTCATGACTCGTTTCCTGTCTCTTTACAGTTGGAGGGCACGACTCCAGTGAAGATGCCCGGGCCTGCATGGAACTCATGATCTGGAAGATCAAAGAGGATGCCAAGGTGAAGAGATGACCTCTGACCCTGCCAGTTGTCTCACACTATGTTACGACCTGGAATGATTTTCGATGAACAGAGCGTCATAGAGGAAGAGTCACTGAAGCTCTTCATAATAGGCCGTGCGTCACTTGGGTCGGATAAACTGCGTCAGAGTAAATGCTGCAGTTTGAATGAAGGGGGAAAGAAAGAGATGGACTGACACAAAGGGGAGGAGACCTGGACGGATAATGTGATAGATTGCAAAGCCTAGACCACCATGGCACCTAGCAACCAGAGCTAGTGCCCTATCAAACAAGCAATCCTAATTCCCACCATGCTAAAACTGACCTAGTAATGGCCAATATTATGACAAGTGGACATAGATTGGGGTGAGGGTAATTAACCTTTTGTTGAGTTAAAGTATTCTCTATTTTTTTCATCAGTATTTTTACTTTTTCAAAGACCCTAGTCCCCCAAATCATCGATTGTGATGGTGTTTTAATTTTCACTTTAGGTGATGTGGCTCCTGGAAGGTCTATGTGTTGCACTCTAAGGTTGTTTGTGATATAGATGTATATTAAATCCACAATTATACTTGAAACCATGTTTTTTCAGCACTGATGTGATGTCACTTCCTCTAGTAATAATGTATAGCAATCCACATACTCAAAAACAGTGTCTTGTCTAGCTGCGAATATGTAAAACTAGATCACTTTGGCATTTTCATGATCCAATGCCTTGTAAACCAGACTCAGTATTCTTATCTGTACTCAAATTAGTACAGTTTGTTTATGCGTTCAAATTTGTTGATTTATTTTTGTGATTTTACACACAAATCATGAGCAGACAGGACAATAAGAAAAAAAAAAAAAAAAAAAAAAAAAAAAAAAACGAGGGCAGGGTTTGGGGGAAAAATGACAGTGAAGACTTTTATATATTAATTTTTATTTCTGATTCAAGAATTCTGTTTCTAATAAATGCTGTGGAACTTTCTATTCATGTTGATATTTATAAGAAATGTTTCTTGAACACCAAATTAGCATATCAGAATGATTTATGAAGGACTAAAGACTGGAGTAATGGCTGCTGAAAACTCAGCTTTGCCATCACAGGAATATAAATAACATTTTAAAGTCTAATAAAATAGAAAATTTATTTTAAATTGTAGTATTTCACAGAATTACTGTTTTTACTGTATTTCTTAATCATATAAATGCATCCTTGGTGAACATAAGAGACCTTTCTTGGAAAAATAACATCATACTTCTTATCTGTACTCAAATTAGTACAGTTTGTTTATGCGTTCAAATTTGTTGATTTATTTTTGTGATTTTACACACAAATCATGAGCAGACAGGACAATAAGAAAAAAAAAAAAAAACAGTTTACTTTGCTTTACTTTTTAATTCACTTTAATTTGTATTAAGCAGTTCAAGCTATTAAATGCAGTATATTGTAAACTGACACACTAAATGTCACGTCATTCATTTAGGCCTGCCACTTTAAACGCATTACTTTTTAAAAACTACTAAAAACATACCTTTCAATAACTGTCAAAACTAAAGATCAAGATGGCTGTGCAGTGATCTGTAATGTTACTAAATGGATTGACATTAATGCCATGTGCTGTAAATAAGTTGTATCTAAACTGTTTTTGTAGCGGTTTAGTTTTGTTTTCTATTAAAATCTATAAATAAAACAAAAATCACAGTATTACAGTATTAGTATTACATATTTAAAAAAGTATGTACATATACAGTGCCATTTAAAAGTTTGCTGTCAGTATAAGATTTATGTGTGTGTGTGTGTATTTCAGCAGCAAATGGACAGGTGAATACGTCCAACTAAATTTCTAAACACACGTTTGTCAAGTCTTTTTTTAGAATATTCTCTGATCTTTTATCCTAACCTGTCTGTTCCACTTCACCATCTTCCTCCAGTTATTTTGAATGTCTATATATGAGATCTTTTCCAGCAGGTGCCTGACTAAGAACTCTTTCTTCAGCAGCTGTTTTCTCGGACAACAAAATGACACAAAGAGCCTGTGGAGGCATAGAGGGGAGGTCTATTGTATCCCGCTCACTCCAGGCCCATGTGTTTACCCTGGGCCCCAGCCATCTCATGTCACAGACCCGGACCCCAGGTATTAAAAACTGCGGCAGGATCAATATCTCGCACAATGTCCGGGTGGCCGGGATGGGGGGCGGCTCTCACTGTGTTTATCGAGTGATTTAAAGATCTGAGCATGTGCAGTGAAACGGCTTAAAATCTTGTTCATTATCAAGTTCGATCAGTCGCTCTTCTGATCACCTTTGACTGCTGGGGTCACCAGAGAAGAGGAGAGCCGCTCATGGCCAAATGGTAGTGTTTTTGCCATTTGGTTTGATATTTAGTCATCTAATGAAATGATATTCATACATTTTTATATGATAAGACATGCTTTTTGTGAGCATCACTAAGCACCAAGCAAGATTAAGTAAAATCGGTCAAAACCTGCAACCCCAAAGAACTGCTTATCATATGTCATTAGCCCATTGTAAAATCTTGTCACCTAATTAGGTGATTGATCCTCCAGTTATTTCCAATATTGATCCATTAGGCTTAAGATAAGCCAGACTCGTGCCATGGTCTGGTTTAATAGGTTTTGTTTAGGTCCACAGAGATCAAAAAAGCGTTGACTTGAGTGTCTGAGGCTTGTCTTTGGTTAACAGGGTCTTGTTAGTGCAGATTAATATCAGTGTGTAACATCCACAGCTCTGTTTTGTATATGAGATCTCTATCCCAGATTTGAGTAACTGTTAACACTTTATTTCAGAACATGGTGTAGTTTGTTTGTTTTTTTATATACATTGGGTCCATATCCGGAAAACAAATAGATATTTAGGTTTTGTAAATATATATATATATATATATATATATATATATTGAATATAATATGAAATATAGCAAAGGTTTTTTTTTTTTGCAGTTTTTAAAATGTCAATGTATATTTTTGCTATATTTCAAGATGTCTAGACCTTGTTTAAAACACCTCCATCCATGTTTTTTTATGGAATTTCAATGGGTGTTCATGAGTTAACTGGTAGATAAACAGTTGATAAGTAAGGATCAGGTTATTATCTGGGTTAAACATCTGGTGCACCTTTTTACTCCTGCAGTGCGTTTT